GAGAAGGGAGATCTTTGGCCAGTCTTGACGGGTCTCGGCCGTGGAGGCCGGGCGGTCTTCCTTTAATTTAAACGGTGTTGTGGGTTCGCATGGCCAGCCCCAGCTCGCCCTTCAAAGGAGGTGAGAAGGTGAATTTTTTCCTGCCCCCCAGCCGTGCAATTTTGCATCCTTGACGCCCGTGCTCTTGCTTCTCCGCTGAGGGGATAGCAGGCCCCACGAATTGCTGTTTACAGCGCGATTCCGTGGCACCACGTTGCTAATAACTGTAATTAACGAGGCTGGGAGACAGCCAGCAAGCCAGAGCTTGCTTGGCATGGATCATGCAGGATTAGTTCTGAGATTTGCCTCTTCGACAACTTTGCAGCCTAACCCAAACCCTTTTAAATCTGGAATAATTTTTGTTGAACGTACGCGGATGGGCTACTCGATTGAACCCAATCCGAATCCCTTTGGGTAATGAACACCCAATGCAAAACATCCAAAATGCTTCCTCTCTTTTTTTTCTTTTTTCAAGTTTTCTTTTTTCAAGTTTCTAGCCCTCATGATCGCTAGCTTCGTTTTACTCGTTGGTAAAGGTGGTGGCAGCTTTTCCAGAAGGCTGGAGGAGTTGGATCTCTGCATCCGGGCCCGCTGTGAATTTTAAGAACGGCCAAAAGCAAGTTCTGCGGGGAAGGGGGGAGCGTGATTCATTCTGCGTTTGCCCTCCAGCAACCTTAGCGGATGCGCAGATTCACAAATCGGCAACCGATGCGGCCGCCAAAAAACTCAATGTGATTTTAGCCAGCCAGATTTGACCCAATGGGATTCGGATCGGGTTCGATCGAGTAGCCCATCCGCATACGTTCAACAAAAATAAGGAATAGGAATGAAACTTTGGGGTGCTCGGTTAACACTGGATCTCGTGCGCTGGGATCTTGTGTTAACCTGCGGTTAAGGGAACCCGCGGGGGATGAGCATTGGGACCAAGGAACGGTGAACTCTCCGGGTGCTATGTTTGTAGAATAGGAGAAGGAAGCCGCTGATAACGCCATGTGTGCAGACAGCACTAAGCCAGAACCAAACAAACATATGATGGCTTCGTGGAACATGTTAATGAAACCAGCCTTGCGTCCTTGGCTGGTCATTTGTACCTCGCCCCGTCTGATGCAACCAGAAAGGAGATGATGTGGGTTTTGATCTGTGTCTCTCATTACCGGCTGCTTTCTAGTGCCCCCACCTACGCCATTCTTGCCGGACTCAAAAATTCCTATTTTTGGTGCCTGGCCAGGTTGCTCCTGTGCGTTCCAGCTGACTTCTCTTCTTCTAAGCCAGGCACTCCTGCCTGAAATTTAAAACGCCTGGGTGCTGTGCCAATCTGACCATCGGTAGGCCCATTTGCCAGCCTCCGTGGCGTGTGCCAAAAGGAGGAATTGTTGCTCTGGGGTGGAATAGCTTCTATGCCTCTAGCATATTTTGGGCTCTATTTCCTTCCTCCTCTAGCCAAACGTAAGATGGACTAGCCCGAGATTGGGGTGGAGTGGCTCGGGCTGAGCTTCTCCTGAAGCTGTTTGTTCTAGAGGTGCCGATACAGGTAGAGGACGCCCGATTTATGGACGACCCATAGTTAAGACGGAGCCTATTGTAGCAAAATTTGAGTTAAATACACAGCGATCGGAGTTAAAGGCCCAAAGGTTCGAGTTCATTACACAATGCTACTTAGACAGTATTATACAATAAGACTGTTCCAACTTACGTACAAATTCGACTTAAGGACAGACTTTGGGAACGGAACTCGCTCTTCAGCTGGGAGCTCCCTTTGGGATATACAGGTAGGTCTCAGTGCGGTGACAGGATCCCACGAAACGGTCACCTGATTCGAATTCGCGCTCTTTGAAGCAATCTTTCTATGGGAAATAGGGTGCTGGGTTCCAGCATGATGGAAATAGTTCCATTTTTTAAGCGTCCATGTTGATAGGCTTCTACTGTGGAACTAGAGTGACCGTATTTCCTTGGAAAAAATTAAGGATGAACCTGAGGTTCATGAGGATTTAGAAAAAGGAAATGGTTTATGCTTAAAACTGCTTCTCCAAGGAAAATTCAAGAGCGAAACCAAGAAAATTAATTAATTAAATAAATCTTTCTGAAATAAAGGATGTAGGGTTACCGTAGGTGTAACGGTCAAAGAGGATAAACCCACATCTGAAGAATACCTCCTGTATTCTTCGAAATGAACCTCTTTTTGAGCTTTCCCGAAATGGAGTCTTTTCTCTATTTTGCACCCACGATTAGCGTCTAAAACCCCAACAGCAACTGCGCGCCCCATCGCCTTGCATTCACTGAATTTTGGCTAGCGTACATGCCCTGGGATCAATTTACAAATCGCACTAAACCGAATCTTGCGCTATTCGAACTCGCGCGAATCACGACCTACCTTTATTGAAGTTGGACATCTCGTTCAACAACTTGCTAGGCCATATGAGCAGAATATTATTCTCTGTTGTGTGTACGCAAGACAGCTGTCATGTGGACATAGCACAATGTCTTAGTGTATTATGCAAGGCCAGCCAGTGGCAGTTTATTCAACAAGCCACGTTTAAACCACGTTGTAAACTGGCCGGCATTTGATCAGTAGAAGAAGGTGCCTTTTTTTTTCCTTAAAGCAATTTGGCTTTTATTCATCCGTTATAGCCAGGAGACAAGTCACTATTGTGGTTACGATGCAGCTACTGTGTTGGCCAATTCCGTCTCACCCTGAGGACTAGCAACTTACATTCTTAACTATAAACAGAAGCAGTGATCTCAAGACCACAAAGTCCCTTATATTTTTTGACTTTTGGCCCCCCCCAGATATATTCCAGGGCTTATAAGCAGCAGCAAAGGGATTGACCCTCCGTGAACAGGAGGAACCAAGCTAAACAAGATAGAAACATTCTTATTTGCAGAGGATAAAGACAGAAAGGACAGCTGAGAAATGCAAACAGCCCCTTTTCCCAGCTGCTGACATGGAGAAAAGTATTTGTTTAAAAGTAAGGGAGGAGGCCAGCTTGCATGGCAGGAATGAAGGATGTTTGCTGGCGAAGGAGACAGCGCGGACGTGCGTTTTTTTTTTTAAAGTTTGCATTTGCAGAATTGCCAAAACGGTTGTAGGTCCGTCCCTTCCTCTCCTTCGCGGGAGGAGATGCTAGGACTGGGTTGGGGGCACCCTTTGAAAATAAACTCGGGGTTTTTCTTGCAGTCTTGACTTTCTAAAGCCAAACCCATGGAATTTGGGGGGGAAAACCCCCCGAAAGAAACGGCCTTGAATTTTGCTTCTGCGGCTACGATGGAGCTGTCAAACAGCTGCTGACTTCCACGCAGCCCATGGAAGCAGAGACAATTTTGCTCACCTATGGAATAGATGGTTTTACTCAGCCCCGGAGGCTGGATTCCACCCCATCACCAGGGCTCAAACAGGGATCTATTTTAGATACAAAATTTGTCGAGATGAACAGAAGCGTGGTACGCTGTCGGCTTCATTCTTATTTGCAAAATAATTTCATTTCTGTCCCGGACAGACCAATTCCTGTTTTGGTGAGTAATCTGCCGCTAGGAAATTGAACCCCTGGCTCGTGTGCAAAAAGGGGGTGGAGGTGGGGGGAGAAAAGCCTATTTTCTGAATCCTGGGTGCATCCGTGGCTAATAGACCAGATCTGCAACAGGCAGGGTCAGGAGGGTGTGTACTAAAGCTGACCTCTTGCACGCTGCAGGGATGAGTGTGCGCGCTAGGACAAATGACAAACATTGTTGGCTCCCGAGGACTGTCACTATAGGAACCATAGTCAAGGGCAGGGGAGAAGTGGGTTGCAAACGAGGTCGCCCAAATGGAAGCGGATCGCTTTAGCCCGATCTGACAGAGCCTCAAAGCTACACCACCCGGACGTACCGTATTTATCTCGATTGCAAGCAAGGAATGACGTTAAAAGATAAAAGTTAGGCAGGCAAACGGGAAGGGAGGGATACAGCTGTTGAGTTCACACAGCACGAAAAGCCTAAGGTGGGTTTTGGCTGCTGTGTGAACCTGAATAAACTTTTTAAGCAAACTGCAAGATGAGTGAGCCCAGCCCCTGGGTGTATTCCCTTGGATTGCAAGCTAGCTCGATCAAAACGGCCACGGGAATCAAGAGATGCGATCAAAGATTCATGCAAAGCCTAGTGTGATTTGCTTTCCCTGTTTTGTAAACCTGTTTTATTCAATAGTTAAGCAACGAGCGAGCCCGGGCAGTTCCTTAAAAAGCAGTCTCTGCTCTTCCCCTTCCGAGACAGGACTCCAAAGCTGGCGACGAACAAGGAATTCAGATTTCGGCGTTCAGCTCTGCCGTGTGTCCTGGTCCGCCAACGGAAGGAAATCAGACCCACAAAAGTGAATTTCTCACAATGCTTTATGAACAAATGTGGGAACGAGGGACCGTTCCCGTTTTAGCCAAGTTGGAAGCGCAACGTCTGCCCACGATAGATTTCCACCGAGGTGGCAGAAACGGATAGGAGACAATCTCCCGGTGATGTTTTTTTCTAGCTGGGTTCTTTGCATTTTTCAAGGCACTACCTATCTGACCCCTCCGGAATCGATCGCCCGCGTGGTCCACGGACAAACGGAAACGCACGGCCTGCAACGTCTGGGGATTTCCTGCGATGACTTGATTTCTCTACCCAAACATTCCCATGTATAACTGTTTCTCCTTCTGAAGATAGCTACTCAGCTGTGACTCGGTCAGTTGCAGGTAGCGCTTGACGTTCGCGTCTGGGGTAGAGAAGCCGGGAGAGAGAAGGGGAAGAAAATGAAAAAAGTTAAAATTCTTGTAGGTAGCGCTAAGCCAAAAAGGTATCAGCTTTGGGGTTTAGCATCTTGGACAAAGCCAGAGGCTGTTTATTTTATGCCTTTCTTTATTTTTCAAAGGGATACATGCCGCCCATCTCGCTATTTTATTTATTATTTATTTATCAAACTTATCCCCGCCCATCTCCCCCCAATGGGGGACTCTGGGCGGCTTACAGGATATTGAAGCAATAAATAAAGACACAGTTAACATGGATAAAAAACACATTTACAGAGCAAAAAGAAGAGGAAAAATCCAGGAGGCCGATGGAAGCAACTATACAAGGGACAGGATCTGTTTGCAAGGCCTGAATGTCGGCTTCCGATGTTATGGAAGAGAGCAGATTAAGCAAATCGCGCTTAAACCATGTGCCAATCTAAGCTGCTCTGGGTGGCACATACATGAGAGATGATTTCATTTCAAGGAGCGGGCCAAAAAGTGAATATAAATGGTTAGGAAGCAGGGTTTGGCTCCCAAACGGTCAGCCAAGCTTGCTTAAAATCACCAAACTTCCCCCTCCCCATTGCAATCAACATTTAGCCGAACAAAACATTAAGCATTTGTTTATCGTGTCCTCCAAGGACTCTAGAAACATGATGTCTCCCCTTTTCCTGCTTTCCTATCGTCTCGGTATGAGGAACGAGACACTGGTGCCAGCAGCCAGAACGTGGCTTGTTTGGGGCTCGGGGCAGGCTGCAAATTAGGATTTGTGGCTGCCCGAGGTTGAGAAAAAGACCGAAATTTGTGAGTAGCAGATCAGAGCAGCTCACCCTTCCCCACTGTTGTCCTGTGTGAAAGGAACCCAGCCCTTTATGGTATATTCACCAAAATCATGGCTTAATGCAAGGCCCGTTGATGAAATGCAGTCGTTCTCACCTTTGGGCTGTCTGCTGGTTGCTGACAAAAGGTAATGTTGGGCTTTGTCGTAATCCCCCAGGTGGTAAAACGCAACTCCGGCCCGGTAAAGCGCCTTGGCGTTGTCTGCTTGTCTTTCCAAAACTTTGAGACTGTAGTGTTTGACACGGTCATAATTCACGGGTTGCATCTGAAGGAGGCAAGCTGGAGAGACAGAACGCTAAGCATGCAAGCGCGTGGCTTCCCGGATGCCCCAGCAAAAGGCAAAAAAATAAAAAATAAAATCAACTTACAAATCTCTTTCACTGGAGCGAAAGAGAAAGTCAACACGGAAGCAGGAAGATCTGGGCCATGCCCAGCTTTTAAGGCCCCTCGCCACCATCAAAATAAAGATCTCTCACTAAGCCCCCCCAAAAAGTGTGAAATGTATATATTTTTTAAAATAATATTAAGTTGTTTCTGGATCTCTGGCCACATGGCTGCCTCTGCCTTATGCCATCCCCTTGTCCTGGTTGGTCTCCAGCTGGGAGATTCAAAACAGATCAAAAGGGGGATTCGGATCCACGGAGAAATGGGGTGATCTTGGAATCTCTGCATTTAGATTGCTCACAATGGGGGAATGAGGTGAATTCATGGCGGAGAGATTACAACGCAGGATTAACCCTGGGGAGAATCAGGTGGGGTCCTCCACCACTCATGGGGGCTGCAGAGAGTCGGGCGCACGCTCTTGCTCTCAACCTGAGCTACCTTGCAGGGCTGTTGTTTGGATCAAGTAATGGAGGAAGGAGAGCGAAGCATTTCTTTAGCTTTCTGTTTCCCCCACTGCACGACAGCTCCTTGAAAAAGAGGCTAAGAACATAACCGAGTATATAAGAATATAAATGGAAGAGGAGGCTCTATCGAAGGCCGCTCAGCGTGATGCTTAAATGGAACCTCCATCTGTCGTCATCTTTACTCCCCCCCCCCTCTGGTCTAACCTTCCGAGACTCATCGTGGTGGCTTCCCACAATGCCACTGGTTTAGCCAGGATCTGGGGCATTGTGGGAAACGAATACGGCCGTGAGAAAATCATCTGTAAGCTGGCTTACCGGCAAGGTTATTGTAGCAATCGCTCTGGATGCTGTAGAGGAGTTTCTCCTGTTCAGGCGTCATAGCGGGCTTCTCGGCGACAAATTCCTGCAGAGGAGAAGGCGTGCTGGGATCCAGGCCTCTAATCTGCAGCAAGGCCCAGTGGTAACGGCTCACAGCATCTCTGAAACGGCCTTCTTTGTAATAGCGGTTCCCTTCTTCCTTGAAGGTCCGAGCCTGTTGCAAACGCAGCTCCGTGGTCGCTTCGGAAGGCACCTGGCCCTCGGGAGGAGGGGGGAGAAAAAGCAATAACATAAGATTTTAAAGCACAGAGAAAGATGTTTCAGATGCATCCAGACGTGCTTTGCAGTGCAGCCTTTGCAGCGCAGAGAGGAAGATGCTTCAGATCCATCCAGATGTGCTTTGTAGCACAACCTTTTCCAAGGCCGTGTGGTTCCCCCCGTCCGATCCACCCACAGAAAAGCATCGATGACACATCCATTCTGCATTAAACACATTGGTATAAAAGGTGCCAAGGCTGGAGTTTTTTTTCATGCCAAGGAGTGCATTTTTCCCCCACACGTTTTGTACCAGGAAAAGCTGTGCCACCAAAAATTATTTTTCAAACCTCATTCAGTTCAGGAACCGCATCCACTCTGGCGTATGTATGGCTGTCACACTGCTTTTCCCCAGAATAATTAAATGGCCAAGAGTCTTGGAGTCTCTGCAGGTAATGAATTTAATAAAAAAGATGGCACACGGCATTTGTGTGCATTTTCACAGCATTTGACAAAAGAGCGTCTTCAGGATGTATCTTTTTAATTCCCTACCTGGCAAATAATCGTGGGTGAGTGGAGAAGATCCCTTTCATAGTGAATTGGATTGCACAGACTATTGATTTTTGTTTGATATTATTATACAACAGTATACAATATATTATACAATTATACAATATTGATATTGGGTTTGGTATTGCAATCAGTCATGCCGAGGTTGAAAAGCAGGATATAAAGATCTGAACGTGGAAAGAGTGAGGGGAAAAGCTCATGCTTGACTCAACCCATAATGGAATATCTAATATTGTAAAAATAATTATCTGCCAGTAATGAAAAATTGGGAACACAGAGCTGAAAAAGTAATAGAAAACGAGCAGGTTAAAATACTGTGGGATTTCCGAGTACGAACTGATAAAGTCTTGGCGCAGAACACACTGGATTTAACTGTGGTTGCAAAGAAGAAAATGTGGCTTGGAATTGGAAAAGATCAGAAGGATCAAGATCTGAAAACCGAAGTTTTTCAATCTTTTCAATCCAAAAGATGATGGCATATACTGGCCGTGGCGGTCCCACGGGTTTATGACACTGGGGGCCATACCAAAAAGCCTTGGACAGCACTTAGAAAATCTTCACACTGACAAAATTAGAAAAGGCCACCCTGTTTGGATCCACACACAGACTACGCCGATACGTTACGACCTCCAAGGTTCTTTATTCAATGTGAATAAAGGCCAACACCAGGAAAAGAACAGGTAGCTGTCATTTCATGTATATAATAATAATAATAATAATAATAATAATAATAATAATAATAATAATATAGCAGCAGCAGCAGCAACACTTGTAATATT